GCTGCAATTTCTTTTGTAGAACATAACAACACGAGAAGGATTTGCTATTTTTTGTTTTCCAAATAAAAATAATTTAATTTTATTGACTTCTGCTTCTTTAAATAGGATAAAGACAAACAGAGGAACTCTATTTACACTGATTCTATTTTTCTAGATTTCCACACATCCGTGAGTAAATTAGTACAAACATTAATGTCTGGTAAATAATGCTTGAACCTGGCTGTTTATTTTGGATACCATTAGATTACAGAAAAGATAGTGTTATATTGTCTTTTATCATTATTAAAAGTGATTTTATATTTTATTACACTTAGGCTCATTCTTAGCATTGTGTTTGTAGATGATGCCACTAAAAAAGAAAATAGACTTAAGGAGCTATTTAAACAGTCAGACAGTAAGAAATATAGGATGATGATGAAAGGTGGTGTTACATTTAATCAGTTACTATTAAAAACACACTTGTATAATAGAAACATTATATGATTGTAGGAAACCCAGATACAATAATACAGGGCAGCCTCAAGGTGAAGCAGCTGCCCTTCAGTATAATGGAAGAAATGTGTTTGTAATGTTAGCATCAAATTAGGGCTGCAACTTATGATTATTTTGGCAATTGATTAATCTGTAGATTAGTTTTTCAATGAATTGATTAATAATCAGATAGCCAAAGGTTCCTTAAAGAAGATTTTTTACAAAATGAAACCAGGCAAAACAGAAACATTTCCTCTTGAGGAGTTCTGGATGGAGAATATTGACAGACTAAAACTTTTTTTATATTAAATGCAGAATGTTTACAAATTTTTTACAATCTTGGAATAATTCCTACTCTAATTGAGTCACTCTGTCAGCTAAAGACACATATTATTGGCCCTATGCTCCAGTTAATGATTAATCAATTACTAAATTAGTTTATGATTATTTAAATAATCGATTAATATGATTAATTGTTTCAGCCCTACATAAAATACATGAAATGGGCGACACAGAGTAACTACAGCCCACATGTACAACTAGTGAAGTTAATATTTTAAAGCTCAGTGTCAGTTCCTCTTATAGTTCCAGTGCACATGTAAATACAATACATTTATTTGCCGTCCCTTCAATGTATTATTTTGCATGATACAGAGAGAGCATATTAGATAAAAAAAAAAAATAAGAGTGGGGTTTACCTATGTTTGCCTCTGCACAATTCTATATCTTCAACAGAAAACATATATAGCAGACATATTTAGACTATATTTGGTTAAATAGGCACGTATTTACCTACTTTTTTAGTTGCTGGTTAGTTTAAATGCAAACCTTTTCAAAGTGGAAAAAAGTCCTAACTCCACATTGGTCAGAGCCAGTGATGCTTTAAACGTTGATAAACTGCATCTGGTGTGTGTAGTGCCTATAAGATTTGCATTAATGTAGCAAGAAATGCTGCTGTTCTCTTTAAACAAAATGTGCCCTGATGCTCCCATTAAGCATAAAAAAAGAGCATGCATATTTTTGCATAGGACCAATGAAGTCAGACCAATGAAACTGGAGACCAACAGTGTCCCTACCAAAGTTGAAATCAAACCTACGCCCATGATCGCATGTTATGCTATGCTACAGTAATANAAAAAGGTCCTAACTCCACATTGGTCAGAGCCAGTGATGCTTTAAACGTTGATAAACTGCATCTGGTGTGTATAGTGCTTATAAGATTTGCATTAAGCAAATCACATTAAGCACAAAAAAGAGCATGCATATTTTTGCATAGGACCAATGACGTCAGACCAATGAAACTGGAGACCAAAAGTGTCCCTACCAAAGTTGAAATCAAACCTATGTCCTTGATCGCATGTTATGCTCTGCTACAGTAATATGTTTTGAACAGTTGTTGAAGCTTGGACATATTTGTTTCAAGGGTTTAAACATTAATAAAACATTAGTGTTCATGTGTTCCTCAGATGCTCATTACATTTCAGTATGACCAATAGTCATTTAGTGGAATCCTGATGTTTATTCGCTGCTAGCTATTTCAAAAGGGGTAAAACATAATTTAACTAGAGGTTACTGGTTCCTTATTAAGCAAATCATTTAATAGAACTTTATTTGGCCAAATATTCACCTCATGGATTTGCATTGTGAATTGGTTTGAAAACATTCCAATTGCTCTAAATTGGTGAAAAGCTAATTTGATCATATCCCAAATTCTTCCAGATAAACTTTGGTTTTCAAACACAAAATCCATCTTAAACTGTAATAATTTTTAGCTAAAATATGTTTGACTTGATTTTTCTTTTTACCAATATATTTTTCGTTGAGATTTTTCATTTTTAAATACAAACATGTCATTATCTGAACAAGTTCTCTTTGTAGTTAAGAAAGTAATTATTTTACTCAACTCAGAGAGAAAAAAAACATAGAAATAAAAGGGCAAACAAACAAAAAGAAAAAAAACACAGACAGAGCTTCTCAAAAACTAGGGTATTAAAGCAAATTAGAAATTGGTCAGATATGAATATACATACACAACATGGCACACCAAAGGTTTCAAGTAAGAAAGCAATATTCATTTTCATGATCAACTTTTTTTTTTATTTTTGTTT